CGACGTTGGCAGCATTGTTTGCTTCGGGCTGGCTCGCGGTATAGAAATGGTCCGTCCCACCCGTACTGTATAGACGGTGAAGGGGCACTGAGTGTCTGGTCATAGTCTAGTAGTGAAGTATCAGTCTTCGAGCATAAATCTCTAGAGCGCGCATGAACTCACGCAGTGCGGGTGTTATGTGGTAGTTGAGGCAGATAGCTGAAGTAGAAGATGTTTCAATGACTGGGAACTAACGAATACTATTCATCCTGATAGACAATTTATAGGGAAGCCAGAACACGCTGGAACATTCCTATCTCTATGGAAAATTCCAAGCTGCATTTCAAGCTTCATTAGCGCTTCACATCACACGGCGTCCCCGCAGCATCACCTCCTATATTCGCGACTACTAAGTGTTCCAATGGTTTAGTATCAGTACTAGGCTGGTAGCATAAATAGACATACAGGCAGTTTATGACATCCTGGACTTGGCCTGGACTACGATAAAGTACTTTGTATCTCGGATCCGTTACGCGTTATGTTCGACTAACACGCTTCACTTTAAACTTAGCTCCCAAGTCCTACTGGATGTCTCGCAATCCATGCAATCCCAGAATGCCATTGATTAGAATGCTCTGGATTCGTGCGCCTGGTCGATAACAGGGCCTATAAGTAAGTGGGAAGCAAAGTTTCTTAGAAAGAAGATAATGCCCATAGCACCCAAATCAACCGGTGGAAACAAGGTGGAAATTCTCAAGAAATTCCTTCGGGGAAATGAACGGTCACCTATTTAGCCCGTCTACATCTTTCAGGGATTATCTGAGCTGTATTTTTAGGCACGCGTCCTATCTAACATTATGTGAGATCCGAAGAAAATCTAGCGTGGTCTTCCTTGGGTCTTCCACTATCGTCTTCCACTATCTGAGGGTTAAGCTCAATCTGATGTGCTTGCAGATACAGGTCGCAGTATCTCGGTACGAGAGAAACGATCGATATAATTATGAACACTAATAACCTGATTACCACCAACCGTGCTGTCGCCGAGGAAGAGCAAATAGAATTTTAGAGGCAGGGGAGATCTACGGATGCATCGCGGCAGGATTTCCTATTCATCCTGTCCATTGTCCGTTGCGATCCATACTGTAGCAATTTAAATTGGTCGTCCGTCACGTTTCACACGCGAAATAAATTTGGTACACTTGAGGGGCATCACGACGGCCAGCGCGTTTTTATCTGGCATGGGGACGCGACTTCGACGCGACAATGTGGGTGGGAAAGTGGAAGTCGGAGAATTCCGGCCATTTCCACTCCCACTATTTTGGTCACGACTCCATCAAACACTCTGGTGTCCTTGCAGCCAATTTGCACCATCTAGGTGAAAACGACATGGACGCCGATAATCTAATCGTCACAAACCGCACTTCCACCAATGAAGAGCGCGAAGAACTCCAGAGACAGGCCAACGAGAAACAGGATGCCCTCAACAAGCGCATCTCCGAGCTGGAGGCGCAGCTCGAGTCAGCGAAGAGGGAGAGGACGGCATTTCTCGAGACTCCATTACCATTTCAACGACCCTTTTCACCTTTCCTTCGGCTTCCCCAGGACGTCATTCGCGAGATATTCGCTGCGTGCCTCGACCCAGAGACAAATCCGACGATGTCCAAAAAAGAGGCGCCAACTCTCCTCACCCAAATTTCCAGTGGCTTGCGGCGCATAGCTCTAGCAAGCCCGGAGCTCTGGGCCGCTATTCACATTCCCATTATCGGCGGCGTGCCACCCCACATATCCGACATTGCACAATCCGTCATGGACAAACGAGCAGAGGGTGCAAAGGAGTGGCTACTGCGGCGATCAGGGAACCTCCCCCTTCGAGTATCCGTCCGGAGAGCCACTCAGTACGAGGTTTGCCCAAGGCCGCCCTATGTTCATCTCAAGAATGACATCATCGACGTTGTTCTGTCGTGCTGCTCGCGTTGGCGTGACGTGTTCTTTGCCATATCAGACAAAGCTCTGCTTCCGTGGCTTGCGGAGCTCAGTCCGGAGGACGTCCCACTCCTGCGGTCCTTCCATCACACTAATGGAATAGACGACTTTCGTGATCAGACGCTCGCAGACAGCCTCGAATTTTGGCCGCAGTGCAGGTTCCTCGCCAGCCCGAACCTACGCAGATTCTGTGCAAATCTGAATACGGAGAATGTGTCCGAATTGCTACTATCCTGTCCAATAACATGGAAAAATCTCACCCATCTGGGCCTTTTGGGTACAGTCCCATACTATGCCAGCGAATGCATCGCTCTTTGCGACATGTTACGCCAATGTCCTCGCCTTGTCAGTCTAAAAATTCTCGTAAGCAACAGAGGATCGCCCGGCATGGGCGAACTAGTATTTCCAACTCTCAAATATTTGACAATTGATGAAGAAAAAAGCGATCCGCAAGAAATTCCGGGGGTCCTGGCGGTAATAATCGCACCGGCGCTAAACACCCTCGTTTATCATGGGCATATAGACTATAAAAGCTCTCCCACAGCGAATCCAGAAAATCTATTAACGATGATGCAGCGTACCCGGAATATAACGCACTTCACACTCGGATATTGCTCCCCTGAGATGCTCGTAAATTTGGTAGCGCATTGTCCCCTCCTTTCCTATTTGAGTATTGTTCAACTTGGTCGAAGCTATTTAGTAGGCTCTATACCGGGAGACCATCTCCTTTCCCGACTTTTTCTCGACGACGACTGTTTTTGCCCGCTACTGGACCATTTCACATGCTCAACCACCTTCGCTGCTACGCTCCAGACCATCCGCAACATCATACATCGCAAGAACGGCACCGTCCCACATTTTGCGCCGTGGAAAGCGCTGAGGCTCCATATAGCTTACGACATCCGCAACGACGACGAAATTGCGAAACTCCGTGACGAAATCAGTGCAGATAAGCGGAAGCCTGTTGACATACGCTTTTCCCAAACGTCCCAGATTTCCCGCAACCTGGTGAATGATATTGGACACCATGTTCAAATTTCCCGGCATCACGAAGGCACATGGCCAATGAGAGACACCTGGCCATTGGCAGAGTGAAGCAATATAATAGATTCATAGCCAGTCTTGAGGTTTTTTATCACTCATTCACTCATATACTTATAATTATGACACGCTTTTGTTTGTCGGTGGTATTTTCCTCCTTTTCGAACTCGACAGTCCAAGCTTTCCTCATTCTAGGTTTCTCACTTATTTGGTATATAAGTATTATGATAGCCAAATGGCGACTTTCTGTGCTTGGATTTACCCAATCTTTGCCGCAGCGAAGCGAGGCAGATCTTGTTTGTATGATGAATTTGGACGGACTGTGTGTCGGAAAATGCCCCAACTACATCACTTATTTTCCAACAACGCAGACGTTGGTGTGACGAACAGAGAGTCTCAGCGCCAGCTCTGCACCATGCAAACCTCCACTTAAGAATGTCAGGACGCACCCCGCCACTAAAACCGAGCCACCCGACTCGTCAGACAGCTACACGGCTAACACATAAATTCAAGCCGAGGAAAAAAGAGATAGTACAAAGGGCAATCTCCACCTCCCAGCGCCTATTACGCCTCCTCCTCTGTCTCGTCGCCCGACACCTCGGCGTTCTCCTGGCCGGCCTTTGCCATGAGCTGGGCGAGATCGTGCTCTTCGGTCTCCGAGACGGCCTTGGGCTGGGTGCAGTGAATATATCAGCAATGCGCCGAGGGTGGGAGAGGCAATGCCCACCTTCATCTTGACGATCAGGTTCCCGCCCTGCTTCTCAATCGACGCCTGGATCGCCTCGATGGCGCGCTCTAGCCGCTCAACGGCAGCGTACTACCCCCGCAAGGCATCAGCGATCACACACCACACCACGCAAGACCAGACGCACCTTGTCCGTCGCGTTCGTGCTGAGGACGTACAGCGGGGGCGCGACGAGCTTCGCCTTGATGGGCACGGCGTCGGAGCTCTGCTTCTCGCCGGTGCGCAGCGCGCGCTTGATCGCGTCGATGCCCGCGGGGGTGTAGCACGTGAGCTCGATGTCGGCGCGCAGCTTGATGGGCTGCGGCGTGAGCCGGCGCGCGATGGTGCTCGTGAGGATCGCGAACGTCGACGGCGCGATGGGCGTCGTGAGCGACGCGAACACCGTGTCCGGCTCGCTGCACATCCCGAATAAGCATAAAAAGTCAGCACAGGCGCACAGAGGGCGGCGGGGGTGCGCACGTCAGAGCGAGCTTGAACGCGTCGTACGTGTGCCCGTACTTCTTCCCCAGCGGCCACGCGATGGTGTCGTACAGCTGCTCGAGCTTCTCGTCCTCGTTCGCACCGGCGGGGACGTCGTGCTCGATGCCGTCCTCGTCGTGCGCCTCCTGGCGCGCCTTTCTTGCAGCGCGCTTGTGCTCCTTTTCCTTCGCCGTCGCGGGCTCGGCCGGGGCGGGGGCGGCGTCGCCGTGCACGGAGGGGATCTTCGATGCGACGTGGCGCAGGATGGAGGCGACGGTCTTCGACTTGAGGTAGCGCTCCTCGCACTTGACGATGTCCTCGGGCGACACGCGGCGCTTCGAGAGATCGATGTAGCCTGGATGCGGTGCAGATCAGGATCAGCGGGCGGGCGGATGGTGGCACGATGCGATGCGCGCACCCTTCTCCTTGTCGACGCGCAGGACGACGACGACCTCGTTCCTGCCGACGCGGATGAGCTTCTGCACGGAGCGGATGCGGCGCCGCGAGAGCTCGGAGAGCAGGATCATGCCCTCGGTGTTGTCGTACTCGAGCTGCAAAAAAGCACTGAGCGCCGTCCGCGACAATATCAGAGCCAGCTCACCAATTTTACATAGGCGCCCATCTCTGCGATCTGGCGGACCTGGACCATGACGAGCTCGTCGACTTCGGGGTACTTTTGTTCATAATAACGCATAGTGGGCAGAGGAGAGATTATCACAGCCCATTTTCACTGCCATATGCGGCTGCCGCACGCCGGCCCGGTCGTCACGGGACCCTGGGCACAGCCTCTATCGCCTGCCTAGCTCAATCGGATAGAGCGTCAGACTCTTATATAGGCACGTCATCTGAAGGCTGCGAGTTCGACCCTCGCGGTGGGCTAATTTCCCTCTTTTGCTCGATTCTGGCTCTCCATGGTTTGCATGTTTTTTTATTTTTCTTTACAGTCGCAACTTCGAAATTGAAACTCCCTGAAAGACTCTCTCATCTTCAGCATATTGTCAAGTCTGAAACGATAATATTGATGTCCGAGCCGGAGCCTGCGGGCACATTTGTGTGCTGATGGCAACAAGCGAGGCTGTGCTGCCGTATATAAACCGCCAGCGATGCGTTTCGTTTCTTCAGCTGGTCTCCCCCAAACATTCCATCCGATTCGTGTTGATCACAATCCACCTACTCTTTCCAATCTCACGAAAATCAACTTTTATACACCTAAATACATATCACAATGGTCAAGTACGCCTCCACCCTCCTCGTCGCTGCCCTCGTTGCCGCCCCTGCGCTGGCACAAAGTTCCTGGGACGAATTCGACGCGTGAGTACCTACCTACGCTTCATTTGCGCTGGGTGTTCATATTCCCAACAGCCGTGAATACGACGACCTCTTCACCCGCCACCCCGATGAGGCCGGGCTCGCCGCCCGCGAGGACACAGCCCCCACCTCCCTTTTTGCCCGGGGCTCGGACTTTGACTTTGACGACACCTTCGAGCGCCGCTCCACCGGTGTCGAAGACGCCCTCGCCGCGCGCGAGCTCGACGAGCTCTACACGCGCGCCCTCGAGCAGCTCGAGACGCGCAGCACGATGCTCAGCTTCTTCAACTTCATGCGCGACGGAATGTGCGTCCTCCTTTCTACCCACCCCTAACGACGATCACCATCTGACCAGTCCACGTCTTCTTTATTTTTAAATCTACAGGAAACAAGTGAAGCAAATCGCACACCAGCCCCCAACGCCCGCTGGCACCACGACCGCGGCGAAGGGCGCGCCCTCCGCGACGCCGAGCAAGGCCGCTACATCCAACACCGAGGCGTCACCCGAGGGCCAAGCACCCCCTGCGGGACAGGCGCCCCTCGCCGCCCCGGGTGGTGAACCCGCTGCCCCCGCCGAGGGCTCCGAGCCCCCTGCCGATGCCGCCGCCGCCCCCGCAGACCCCAGCGCAGACGGCGCCCCGGCCGCGCGTGAGTTCTACGACGCCGACCTGTGGGAGCGCGCGTTCGACGAGGACAATGCGCTGTACGAGCGCGAGTACTATGACGACGATGCGCTGTACGGACGCGCATACGACGACGCGGAGGAGTTCTACGCGCGGGAGTACTATGACGACGAGGCGCTGTACGGGCGGTCGTACTACGACGACCTTGACTGAGTGTTGTGTGCACGAGCGGTCGTTACATTTCGATGTATTTCCTGTGCGATTGCGGTATATCGTTGATATTATATTCGTTGGAAAGGTCCCTATGTGTTCATGCAAGCAAGGCGGTCCTTTTATGTGCGAGGCTTGTCCCCTGATGCCATACGTGCCGTCGGCATCTCATGGTGGCCCCGAGAGTCTAGATTATCAAGTAGGCGTTCCCCCTACGTTCGATCCGTCTCGCACAAAAATACCACAGGATTTATACCAAGGCAATCATCGTCGCCGTTCCATGAACATCGCCTTCATATCATCCGAACAAAGCGCGCTCCACAGAGGGATCCACGGCATGGGCTGCACGGCGTCTGGCTGATACGGCGGCACAGCGATAGCTGCGCCCAGCTTACAAAACGCACCCCAATATGGGTGTTAGGCAGGCGATAGGAGACGACAACCCCCCGCTGCAACAGCAGCAACGCACCGCCATTTGAATCATCCGTGTCTGCCAATCCGTGTTTGCCAATCCCACATTCCTCCTAGACGTCCTACCCTAAGTACATACATACATGCATAATTCCTTCTCTGTTCACAGCGCAGACTCCCACATCTGCATACCTCTCGCAGATCATGTCATGGCGACCTCTGCGCAGGCCTGTTTGCATCACTCGCATCGCACCGTCGAGAGGGCGTGTCGTTTCATCAATGGAAAACGTCAATGACTATCTATTTTCATACACTTCTATCAATTCTATCATGAATTCTATGCAACTGGCGCGGTCAAACAGTTTCAAGTTGGACAAGGTTGGATAGCGCCGCGTACCGGCTGATGCCGTACAGCGTCACTGCCCCGTTTCCAGAGACGGGGACAGGCGGGGACGCGCCTGAACGCGCTCACTCTCACGCACGCGCGCGTCCACAGCGCGCTCCGCGAGCGGCGAGCGCACATCAGGGCGCACACCGTCATATACGCCGTCGAGCACGGTGCCGCCAGCGGCACCCACTGCCGCCCACAGCGCACATCAGCTCTCAGAAAAGCACGCCCAGCCACCCCGCATCCGTTGGTGCCGGTGCGCTTCCTTAACCAGGGTTGTCAGTCCTAGGACCGCCCACATCAGATGGTGGGCACCCGGCGCCCCCACGGCAGATCGCCGACTTCCCAGCGCTCTCGGCGCCCACAGCATATAAAAGGGCGCCCGCGCCCACCTCTGTTCTCCAGCTGGTCTCACCCCCCCACACTACAACAACACTCTCCCACCCACCTTTTTAAAAAACCCCAATAAATCAATATGGTCAAAATCGCTGCTACCACTTTCGCCGCCGTCGCCCTCCTCTCCGGCTCTGCGCTTGCGCAGACCGCCGCGGACGACGCCGAGTTCCTCGCTGCGCGCGAGCCCATGCGTTTCGGTCTCGGTGCTGCGCGCCGTTTTATGCATCACGGCGGCGGCGGGGCCCACCACGAGCACCACATGCACTCCATGCCACAACAGGACCAACAGCAGCAACAACCCGCCGACCAGCCCCAGCGCCGCGAGCCCGAGCCCATGCGCTTCGGCATGGGCGCCGCGCGCCACTTCATGCACCACGGCGGCGGTGCGCACCACGAGCACCACATGCACTCCATGCCGCAGCAAGACCAACAGCAGCAGCCGCCCGCCGACCAGCCCCAGCGCCGTGAGCCCGAGCCCATGCGCTTCGGCATGGCGGCCGCGCGCCACTTCATGCACCACGGCGGCGGTGGGCACCACGAGCACCACATGCACTCGATGCCGCAACAGGACCAGCAGCAGCAGCAGCCCGCGGACAGCCAGCCCCAGCGCCGCGAGCCCATGCGCTTCGGTCTCGGTGCCGCGCGCCACTTCATGCACCACGGCGGCGGCGGGCACCACGAGCACCACATGCACTCGATGCCCCAGCAGGACCAGCAGCAACAGCAGCCCGCTGACCAGCCCCAGCGCCGCGGGTACTCCGATGACGAGCTCGAGATCCTCGCGCGCGAGCCCGTGCGCTACGGCGGTCTTCCCAGGTACGGCATTTCCTGTATTTATTCCTCGCGCCCGCTCATGAGTTTTTCTTTCTTTTTACAGTGGTGCACGCCGCTTCCTGAGGCTCACCGGTGGAAACCGCGAGCACCGCGAGCACCACGAACACCACGAGCACCCCGTGGAGCAGCAGCAGTCCCAGGACAGCCAGCCGCAGCGCCGCGAGCCCATGCGCTTCGGCATGGGCGCCGCGCGCCACTTCATGCACCACGGAGGCGGAGGTCACCACGAGCACCACATGCACTCGCTGCCCCAGCAGGACCAACAGCAGCAGCAGCCTGCCGACGGCCAGCCCCAGCGCCGCGAGCTCGAGGACATGGAGGACCTCTTGGAGCGCGAGTTCGAGGACTTCGACGACCTCGATTAAGTGGCTTCTTAGGGCGTACATATTGTATATTGATAACGGAATTGTTGTTGTACTACCACTGTGTTTGTAACATCAGTGAAAATCAGAAACATTTGATTTGCACAAAACTGGACTGTGGAGCGGGTGGGAGTGTAGGCGCTAGTTTGTAGTAGAGATTGTGGAGATTGAGACTTGCAAGTTGCTGTGGAGATTGCCCGGGCCTCTGCAGAGAGGTATGCAGCCTGGTGGATACTTTTGTGGTGATATCGAGAACTATGTTAGAGATGTTACGCATCGTTAAGCGCCCAGTACTGGCTTCATTAAATTTCATTCACGCTGCGCTCAGCCCGTGGGTAATTTAAGCTGATGTGCCATCAATTATATACCGGGCCGGGATCAGCGACATCTTCCGAGTCGTGTTCGGATCCATCTTGGACTCATGCCAATTGGATCCATCTTTACTTCGCGAACTTGAAAGCCAGGAGACCCGGTCCATCGTTGTGTTCGAATGAACATCGTCACCTGCCCAGATCTTGGCTCTAACCAGCATACACCGGACGCTATGGAATCAACATCTCCGAGGATAGTAGGTTCACGCCGCGTCGAGCTGCCATTTGATATCTACACTTACATCATCGACCTTGTGGCAAAAACTTATTACCCACTGCATATGGAAGATATCAAAGCCATGTCTCTGGTCCGTCGCGCTCTTGTCGCCCCTTGTCAAAAATTTCTTTTCCGGTCGGTTACCTATTCCGTCAAAGTTGCACGAAAACTTTTGCAAATCCACGATGCATCCCCTCACCTCGTCGACTACGTTCGCCAGCTTGACTTGAAGTTTTCCGCTGACCACAGATCTGATATAGACCGTCCCAGTGAAGTAACGGTGGAATTTTTCAACAAGTTCCGCAACCTATCTAGGCTGGACTTCGCCTTCAATTCGAGAAATATGGTAGCCTTAACTGCCACGTATGATTGGAAGAAAATTAATCCTTCGGTAGCTACGGCACTCCTTGCTTTGCTCCGAAGACAAACCCGACTCGAAACATTGAGCATATCCGGTATTAAAGGCTTCCCTTTACAAGGAATTTTATCCTTAGAAAAGCATAAACATCTCAAGACTTTCGCCATATCCTGCGTGACACTTGACTTTACCGACGTCGCTCAGACCGCAGACCTCGAAACCTCGAATACCGTCGCGACTGGCCCCGGACACCTGGAAAGATTCGGTTTTGGGGCTGACATTCACGAAGCTCTGTTGGTTCTTACTGGATCGCCAGACTCACCTGCTAAAAACCATGCCATATTGGATTTCTCTTCAATTGAGGTCCTGTCCGTCGATTGGAAAGATGCCAACGACCTCGC